ATGAGGTTCCTGTCAGCCCATTTCTCCAGCCCATTGAGATCTCTCTGGATGGCAGCACAACCCTTTGGCACATCAGCCACTGCTCCCAGTTTTGTGTCATCAGCAAACTTGCTGAGGGTACACTCTCCCCATAATCCAGATCATTAATGAAGGTGTTAAACAGGACTGGACCCAGTATTGACCCCTGGGGTACACTGCTAGTTACTAGCCTCCAACTAGTTTTTTGTTCTACTGATCACCACCCTCTGGGCCTTGCCATTCAGCCAGCTTTCAATCCTGTATGCTTATCCAGCCCATACATCAACAGCTTATCTATGAGGATATTATGGTGAGACTGTGTCAAAGGCCTTACTGAAGTTCAGATAGACAATATCAACTGCTCTCCCCTCATCTACCAGGCCAGTCATTTCATCGCATCAAGTTTATCAAGTTGATCAAGCACTACTTCCCTTGGTGAAGCCATGCTGACTACCGATTATTTTCTTGTCCTTAATGTGCCTGGAAATGGTTTCCAGGATTAGCTGCTCCATCACCTTCCCAGGGATCAAGGTGAGGCTGACTGGCCTGTAGTTCCCTGAGTCCTCCTTGAAGATAAGAGTGACAAGGCATTGAACCTGCAAAGGCTTGTGCACATGTTTACATTTTTTGTATTGTGCATGTTTCTTTTGAGCTCAGTGGGACATTCTTCATGTGGGTGGCATGAGATATGTGGATGAAGTTTGATGTAAATTTTTCATCATTTGCAGGTTTGTACTTACTCAACTCAATATGTTCAGGCTTGAGTTTAAAGCTGTGTACTCTTTGGAATGGAAAAACTTTGTTCTTTGTTCATCACCAAACAATGGTGTGTCTGTCAGAATGAAAGTTCCATTTTATCTTCTTTCAGTTACTGTGTGAGCTTTTTAACATGTTTTGAGATGGGTAGACATTATCCGGTGTCACTGAATTAGATTAAGTTTTACATCAGCTTTGGTTTTAATTAATTAAAAAAAAGCTAAATGTGTTATAACTTTATTTTTCAGGTACGAAATGATGAAGGAAAGGTGATCCGCTTTCACTGTAAACTTTGTGAATGCAGTTTTAATGATCCTAATGCCAAGGAGATGCACTTAAAAGGGAGGCGGCACAGACTTCAGTATAAGGTTAGTAGAAATGCTAATGCTTCTATCTGAAAATCCACCAGATGTTAGCTGACTGATTACACGTTCTTACATTTAAAGACTAGTCAAAAGTAGGTACTCTGAGTAAACAGCATATAAAAAAAAGCTAGAGAAGTATCACAGAATCACTAGGTTGGAAAGGACCTTCAAGATCATCAAGTCCAACCATTAATCCAGCGCCACCATGTCCCCTAAACCATGTACTGAAGCGCCACATCCACACATTTTTTGAACACTTCCAGAGATGGCGACTCCATCACCTCCCTGGGCAGCCTGTTCCAATGCCTGACCACCCTCTCGGTGAAGAAATTTTTCCTAATATCCAATCTAAACCTCCCCTGGTGCAACTTGAGGCCATTTCCTCTTGTCCTATTGCTAGTTACTTGGGAGAAGAGGCCAACACCCTCGTCGCCACAACCCCCTTTCAGGTAGTTGTAGAGAGCGATAAGGTCTCCCCTCAGCCTCCTCTTCTCCAGACTAAACAACCCCAGTTCCCTCAGCCGCTCCTCATAAGACTTGTGCTCCAGACCCCTCACCAGCTTCGTTGCCCTTCTCTTGTATATTTCTTAGGGAGTATAGTCTTTAAAGTAGTAATGCAGACTGTGAAACTGCATTTTGGTTTGGGTGTGTTTGGTTTTTTTAAACATTTTGAACATTGCTTTCAGGCAACCTTTGCAACATTAAATTATTGTACAACATATGCAAGCAATAGTAGGTGCTCTATGTTGTTTACAGTGAATTTCAAATAGTGTAAAATAGTGCTTAATATTTTTGACAGGATAAACTACATAAACCCTTTGTGGAGACATTTGATAAAAAAGTGTTGCAGACTTTTTTTTAATCTTGAATTGCTTTGTTTTCATATAGTTGAAGAGGGAATTCATGCTATTTGTAATATGTTGCTATTTCTTTCCTGTAAAATACTGGACACAGATTTTTCTTCAACTTATTCATTCAGCGCAGTTCTAAAACTGCGTTTTACTCCGCTTGATTTTATTGTAGATCAGTAGTGTGAGTTAAACATGTCAAAAGAACTCTGTAACCTTAAAATGACAAGAGGCAAACCAACATTTCATTCACTATTTTCTGAACTAGAAAAAAGTAAACCCAGACTTACAAGTAGAAGTAAAGCCCAGTATTCGAGCAAGAAAAATTCAAGAAGAGAAGATGAGGAAACAGATGCAGAAAGAAGAATACTGGAGAAGGCGAGAAGAGGAAGAACGCTGGAGGATGGAAATGAGGTAATGCATTCTGTTTTATCAATGAATGAGACAAAGCTGCAGTCAGATTATCTAAAACTAATTCTGCTTCTGTAGTTATTTATTTTGAATACTAGTTTTGGGAACTCTGTACTGTCTTGTTCTAAATTAATTTGTCATTATCCCTCTGGGTTTTTTGTTTGTTAGTGTTCAATCCATCTGAGGAATGTAGTCTTACTAGAATTATTTGCTATAAATTCAGACCCACTTTCGAAATAACCATTCTTTTTAATTACCCTCTGGAGTTCACTGGTATTTGCTCATGACTACTAGAAATGAGTTAGTGAGGACATCCAAGAATTTATTTAGAATGGTTCGAAGTATTAACTGCTATATAAAGAGAACACTTTGATGTGCTTCAGGCGATATGAAGAGGACATGTACTGGAGGAGAATGGAGGAAGAGCAGCATCACTGGGATGATCGTCGCAGAATACCAGATGGAGGATATCCTCATGGTCCTCCAGGACCTCTAGGCCTGCTGGGAGTTAGACCAGGAATGCTTCCTCAGCCCCAAGGACCAGCTGTGAGTTTCTTAACTTGGGGCGGGAGAAATCATACTTACCAGGAGGCACAGTTAAGAACTATAAATTATTCAGTGCTACTTCAGTTGTCTCCGGTGTTTCTTAATAAAGGATTTGGAAAAGTGAAGAAAAAATTATACTAATGAAATTGTGTAGATGGACCTGTCTTCCAAAATAAGTCTACTTATATGATGAAAGGATGACTTGAAGACAAATATTGTTTCTTCTGAAATACGAGTCACTCTGGATTTCTGTACTACTTTTTATTTTATTTAATTGCATTATACTTTGTTTATCTAATTGTGGACAAACATAGGGATAAAAAGTGGTTGGATCGTCAGTCCCAGAGGACAATGGTTAGTGGTGGGTCATACTCTACCTGGAGGTCAGTAACAAGTGCAGTACCACATGGGTTTATCCTGAGATTTGTCTCATTAGCACCTTATCAATGATCTGAAAGGTGATGGAGTGAGTGCACGCTCATCAGGTTTGCAGCTGACACAAAACTAAATTGGTTTGGAGTGGGGAGAACAGTTGATATCTCTGAGGGCAGGGCTGCCATCCAGGGGGACCTAGACAGACTGGAGGAATGGACCAACAGGAACTTTATAGAATTCTGCAAGGACAAATGCCTAATGCTGCACTTGGGAAGGTATAACCCCTTGCACTGAGGGGCTGGGGAGTGACAGGCTGGGTAGCAGCCCTGCTGAAAGGGACCTGGGGTTCTTGGCAGATGGCAGGCTGAACATGAACTAAACGTGTGCCCTGGCAGCAAGGAAGGCCAACAGCATCCTGGGTGATATTAATCAGTAGATAAAGGGAAGTGATCAGGTTTCATTAGACCCAAACTGCAATACTGCATTCAGTTTTGGGCTTTCCAGTACAAAATAGATACTGATAAACCATAGCAGGTTCAGTGGAATGTAATAGCCTTCTAATACCTGTGCATTATAAAGACAATGGAGCCAGACTCTTTACAGTCATGAGGGAGCAAGATACGACCAGCTTAAACTGAGATAAGAGGTTCAGACTGAATACAGGAAATATATATTATTTTTTTTTCACACAGATGTTGTGCAACTTCCATCTTTTGTGGTTTTCAAGAACTGATTGGATAAAGCCCTGAGCAACATGATATGGTCTTATAGCTGACCATGGTTTGCACAGGAGGTTGGACTAGAGGACCTCCTGAGGTCCCTTCCTATTTGAATTCTTCTGTGACTCTATGAAAGCAATTATGGATACTTTATTTTGCAGCAGTATGCAAGTATTTCCCAGTTAACAGAAAGACAATAGATATTTATGTTGGGGAAGTACTTTTAATCCTGGGATTTCACAATTTGTTTATTTTTGATACATTTCATGTTTTTTCAGACATGGTTGATTGTGACCAGTGTAAGTTGTTAAGGACACTTAAGTTCATGTTTTGTTACATTTCAATGATTTGAGGTTTGAATATTCTGTTGTTTAGCCACATGTTTGGGTTTTGGTCACATATCATCTGTGAACTTGGAAGTGTACTCAAATTTCAGAAATGTGCACTTTTTTGTCTGTTTAGCCTCTACGCCGCCCTGACTCCTCTGATGACCGCTATGTGATGACCAAACATGCAGCTATATATCCAACAGAGGAGGAACTTCAAGCAGTCCAAAAAATTGTTTCTATTACTGAGCGTGCTTTGAAACTTGTTTCTGACAATATGACTGACCATGAAAAAAGCAAGAGCAAAGAGGGAGATGACAAAAAAGATGGCAGTAAAGACAGGTATTTTTTTTCTTATTATTTTTTAAGAATTTAATCACTTGTTTCTGAATTTTATGTTTTTCCTTGCATTGTGTTATCAGTGCTTCCAAGGATTCTGTTCTCTTTGGGTTTTGATATGGCATATATCACTATGGCCTCAAGAGTATATGGAATACTCCTATTTTATTTCACTTTTCTATCTTCAGGATTAGTTTTATGGTTTTTATATTACTTTAAATGCAGTTTTTAACTATAATTCACAGAGCTTTGAAAGGAGTTTTACGGGTAGGCGTTTTGGCTAAAGGCTTGCTACTCCGTGGAGACCGAAACGTCAGTCTTGTTTTGTTATGCGCTGAGAAGCCTTCAAAGATGTTACTCAGTCGTATTGCTGAAAGTCTTCCCAAACAACTTGCAGTAAGTAGAATTTAGATTTTTGGATTTGAATTTTTGTAAAGATACTGTAAAAATCTGTCCTCAAGTCAAATGTCTGCAGGGCTGACTGTGCTGCATTTCATAGCTCAGGTTCAGTTTCTTTTCATTTTCTGAGTGTTTCTGAATTGAGGGACTATGCTGCATGTTTTGCTTCTGTATATTGTGTCCATACAAATGTCTAGGTGTTTATGCTAGCGGTGTAGTATCAATCATCATTTAATAGATTTCATTTAACTGGGAAATAAGAATGAGCAGAAGAAAAGGTCAGGTTAGATGGGGCTCTGAGTAACCTGATCTAGTTG